TTTTAAGAAGTGTTTTAAAATCAGAAGAAGAAGATTATGAGATGAGGAGCAGCCAAGGAGGTTACATTGAACAGCTGGAGTGTGCAGAAACCATGTGACCATGTGATCGGCTGGTACAGATAACGGCTAACGCAAAACGGTCAAGAGTCTGCATTTCCCATTACTGTACATGTTGACAATAGAGCAGAAAAAAGGACTAATGATGTAGAAATCATTAAAACTATTAATAATAATATTAACCCAATTATTATTAATATTTTACAGTTTATATAATCTATTTAATGTTTTAAATAATGTCAGAAAAGCTGTTTGTGTTATTGATTTATGAACAGAAGATAAACAGGAAAACGTCTCATTTCACATCACAAGTCAGCAGATTTGATCTTATTTAACTCAATGTGATCTGAGCAGAGCATAATGTAACAGTTTAAAATTAAATTAATCTTATAAAGTCGATGTAATCACTGTTATTTATTGAAATGGATATCAGACATTAGCTCGTGGAGCATATATACAGAGTGTAGCACTGTTGAATCATGCTTCAATTTAACACAAACTATTAAATATTATTTTGTGTGTCTAAATATTAATCAGAGGACAGAGTGTAGAATAATATTAGAAATGTAAGTACACTTAACAAAAATATAAATGCCCCATGTCAAATACTGTTGCCATGGTGAGTTAACAACATTAAATGAGCTTTTACTGACATTTTATTGTACAAAGGTAGTATTTCTATTGATTTGTGTATAATTTTTAATCTTAACCTTCTGGCAGTGAGCATTACTCAGTGAGTTGTTTTTTTACTCAGTGCATGGGTGGGACATGTCCAGTGGGTGATCAGAGAAAAAGAGCAACAGCTGGACAATCCTTGGACTGGGGACAATAAAAGGCCACCCCAAAATGTCAATTGTGTCACATGTTATAATGCCTCAGATGTCGCAAGCATGACATCACCTTTCAACATGACAATGCCCGAACTCATGTTGCTCGCATCTGCATGGAATTCCTTCAAACAGAGGACATTGAAGTTCTGGACTGGCCTGCATATTCACCAGACATGTCCCCAATAGAGCATCKTTGGGATGTTCTGGATTGGCGTGTCTGGGACCGTGTTCCAGTTCCAGGCAATGTGGGTCAGCTCCGCGTGACACTCCATGGAGGAATGGAATAACATTCCACAGGCCACCATAGACAGTCTGATCAACTCCATGCGAAGAAGATGTGTTGCTCTGAGAGACGGAGCTGGTGGACACACAAGATACTGAAAAATCAAATTCCTCAACCTGACCCCTATCATGTTCAAAGGACTGTCAATCCGCTTCAAATGGCCATAACCACAATGCCAGTATGAAGATCAGTAGTTACTGAAAATCTTTTTTGAGTTTCTCTGTATGTTGCATAACACAAATGTTCATAAAACTCTTGTATTTGACATGGGGCGTTTATATTTTTGTTAAGTGTAATTATTAATTTATTGTAAAAACATGACCGATAATCTGTGACACAGATCCAGTTCCGCTTGCAAACAGCATCTATCTATTAGTTCAGAGGTCACTAATAGGCGGACCTCGGTCCGGATACGGACCGAGTGGGGGTCTCATGCGGACCCGAACGCAATACATGATCAGTCCCTTTCATAAGTCAAATCCGCACAATTGCCGCACAGACCAGTCCGGCTTTAAGCCCCCCCAGGTCATTCATAAGACCACAGGTGAAGGTGGGCAGGTCCCGCTCATGTAAACGTGTTCATAATGAACCCGCAGCGCTGATCCAACAGAGGAGTGGAGCAGCTGAGCTGAACGGACCGTGACGTAGCTTTTTATTATGGACAGACGCCTGCTGCCTCGTATCAAACAGAACAACTGGATCAGATCACTTTAGTGGTTCTGTGGTGGTTAAATATTTTAAAACAAAGTTACTGTTTCCTGTCATTTTTAATATTCCCTCTAATAATTCTCCAGCTGCGCTGACGTATCAAGCACGCACACGCACACGCACACGCACACACACACACACACACACACACACACACACACACACACACACACACACACACAC